CAAATTACAAAATTGCTATTTTTGAAATTTGGCCACGTGGCGCAGAAATAGGAGGTCTTTAGACCGAGCCAACCATATGACTTAAAATTATTCTTATTATTTTATAGGAATTTTAACCATCGTGCAATAATTTTTCATTTGACCATTGCTTTCACTATTTAAAGATTGCTAATTTGTACATTGTTTGGTATTAAACTCTGCCCAGCAGAAGGTTATATTTTTTTGTGATGATAAGAAATTTTTTTTATAATTTAGATTCAGTTTTTATTATCATCATCATTAGCTATATTATTATTATTATTAATTAGATTATGAAAACTACAATTTATATATATACTCCCTCTATCAATTCAGGGGACTAAATTTTACTGATACAAAATAAACTTATTTTATTCCCAAAGATATAAATTCATGCTAAGCTTAAAATCTTATTTTCACTTTGGCATTGACTTGGTCGTACTGGTTTTATTCAATTTCTATAAATATTTCATATCCTCTGATTTCTTTGTTTACTCTGGCGTATTTTTGATTCTTCCTTTTTTATTCCAGATCGTCAGTTCTGGTTGATTGTTGTTTGTCCCGTTAACGTAAATTCTTCTCATCTTCTTTCCGATACATGAGTAGTTTAATTAATTTTCTTCTTTCGTTATTTTTAGTTATCAATCTTTGGGATCTTGGTCAGATTTATTAAGCTTTTTGTTGTACTCTTTAATGTTTTTGTTGCTCTTTTTATTAAATTAATTAAATTAAACTAAATATGTTTTCGCAATCGGTCGTGTTGTTGATCGTATAAAACCCGATTCTGGTTGGTATGTTGTAAAGCAGTGTGTTCTTCTGCCGCTCAATTCTTCCTAATTTTCCCTAAAGCGCCGTAAGAGTTCTTCGTTATCTCAATACATGTCATTTCGCACACTTACATGGTTTTTCTGCAATGCGGGGTGTCTGTTTTGTCATGTTTCTTAATGAGTCCGTCACATAATATTTCAAATAAGGATTTATTATTATTAATAATACTAAATATGGGACCATCAATGAACCGGTAATGCAAATAAAACAAGTTAGGCAAATTACACAAAGACTGTCCCACTTTGGAATGTTTATTATTATGAAAATATTAACGCGAAGGCTTTTTTGTGTGATGCTTTTCATTGATTTGGGACACGTAATAAAAAAATGTTTCGTTCAACAGAATCTTTGCATGCCTATAAAGTTAAGCTTCAATCCTCCTTCATTTCTTGAATAATTTATTCATAGATTGTTATTTATCAATCGTCCACTTATTTAATGATGTTTTTCACAACCAAAATTATTCGGCCTGAGTTTTCTAGGAAACCTTTTATCTTCTATTTATTTTATCTTTTATTTGGTCTCATCCCTACAGCAACAGAAGCAATTACTAACAGGATGTTTGACTTTCCGGTTTATGACTCAGTGAATGGATTGAAATGTAGTGTTTCTGAATACAAGGAACAAAAAGTATTTGGCACCTTTGGTTCTCAATTAGGGACGTTTATACCTATTGCATTCCTTATTTTTACTGTAGCAGTTTACGGTACAAAATCTGTGTTTGGCTATATGAAAACCTGCCTTATTGATGATGTTGTTATTCTCACGTCTTCTTTGGTGCCCATGCTTTCATGGTACATTTTCGGTAAACCACTCTGGTATAATCTAATTAAGAAGGATACAGATGATTTATATAAGATAACGGAAGATTTTGTAAACATTTATGGAAAGAATCTAAGTGCAATCAACAAGGCTGAATTTCTTGACAGGATTAATGATATTAATGAAAACTTTAATAAGGAGGTGGTTAATATTTTAATAATTACAGTAGTGAGTTTTGTAGCAATTACGCTTCTGTTGTTGATTATTGGATGTGTTTTTTACAAGCGTTGGAATAAACCGAATGTTATAATCTTCGGGAAGATGACTAACAAAAATTTGTTTGTTTGTTTAAAAACAGTCATTATTTGGATTTATTTAATTCACTCTATTGTACTCTTGTTTTATACTTATTCGGAAACTAAATACTTTTATGATCAATTTGATGTAAATGATGAGCTTTATACAAATGAAAATGGAACTGAGCTTTATTATGCTAATTATGAGGATGATAATTCCAAGACAGGGTTTTTATTTAATTTAGAATTCATACACTTTTTAGTAAATCTTCTTTATCTCATCACAGCCGTTGTTTTAGTTTTTAATTATCATTTTCCAGGATCGGATCGAAAACATGGATTTTTCAAGCGTTTTATTCATAAAAAGTTTTTCTTTTTTCTGATTCTCTTTTCCTTGATCGAATTGTTTTTTGAATATTCTTATTTTTGCACCAGTCCTATTATTAGCACAATTTTCAATTCTTTACTTGTCACCATTTTGACTCGTTCAATTGCATCATTCTTTTCTAGCCAGGGAATAGTCAAAGTCGAAGATATTGATAAACATTATTATAAAAATTATCGACATGCAGTTTTTGCAAAAATGAACGCTGAAAATATTCAACATTTCAACCATTTTTATAAGAGTGATTTCTACGACAAAGATGACACTTTGGAGGGGAGAGAGTTGAAAAGGTATAAAGTCGATTCTGTAGACGGATATGTTTATGTTACGGAGGAACCTGATTCCGAGAAACCTGATTCCAAGGAACCTTTATACTATTATGTTTTGACTAATAATAAATCTGTATATTTTCGTGTGCTTAAAATGGTATCGGAAGATGAGGACAATGGCAGTTGGAGTTGGAAATCATTATTATTATTATTTAAAAACAAGGAGGAAGAACGCATTAAAAGGCAAGTCAAGAAAGCGATACGTAAACTTATAAAGGAAGACAAGGAGACGGAAGTTGACAAGAAAGTCAAAAGTTGCGTGAAACATTATTGTGAAGGAGTCAAACAAAAAGAAGATACATTTATTCTAAAAGTGGATCAGGAACTAAAAAAAAAGGAAATGAGTAGGCTTATTACAGATGTCCTAAAAAAAAATAACATTCCTGTAAAAGAGGAAGAAGATGATGACATGATTGACAAAAATAAAGATTGGAAAATCGAAGGTTACGTGCTGGTCAATGTGCTTCAAACAGGATTTCTTAATTATATTTTTTACTCTCATCGTGTTTCTGAAAAAAATAAACCTATTTCTAAGGTTGACAACAAACCTACTCCTGAAGAAGATATTGAAGATGATATTAAAGATGATATAGTTTAAAATTTAGTAAATGTTCAATCAATAATATCTGTACTGTATTGATAATTTTTTATCTTAATGTAACAATTTAAATGATTACCGATTGATAATAAATAGACTAACTTACTTATATTTTATCAATCTGTGTAATCTTAAGTAATATATATAATGAACATTTTATAAAATAATAAAATAATAATTATCTCCGCACACAAAATAAAAGTATTTGTTCGTAAAAGTATTTTAAATTCATTTTTAAAAAAGTAATTCTTACACTTAACAAAAAATAAAAAACGACTGTATATTATTAATATACTAATATTAAATGGTGTTGGTTGCCAAAACTATTTTAAGAGACGAAAGTCAAAGTCAAAAGTCAAAGGTAATGATAATGATACAATAGTTTTGGCATTTAGCATTCTAGTTGAATGATACAATCAATGATACAACTGCTGAGATAATAAAATATTAATGCATTATTCATGATAAATTATCAAATGGTAAAGAAAAGAATGTGTGATTATGCATTATAACTGATGGAAGTAATAAAATATAAATGTAGTCCACAAGTGAGAATGCTCTCTTCCTTCTTAATTATAAAATATGAACAATAGAGATAGTTCTTTTAGAAATAATTATTTTGCTAATGACAATAATAATGTTAACCCTTCACACAATATATGAACCATATTAAAATCAATATGCAGTATATAATAAAATTTACTAATAACGGATTGTAACAAAACGTTGGTGTTGGTCTTATATCATCTTGTTTAAAAGGAACATTATAATTGATCTCGTTTTGTTTATAACGAACATTTTAATAGACAACTAATTTATATTGGAAAGAGAAAAAGAGAATGAAATGAATTATGAATTTTCTGATAATTTGCTTCAATGACATTATAAATAAAGTTCAGTGGAATCAAAAATAAAAAAATAAAAAATAAAAAATTCCATACACAATAATTTGCACGACCGACATGCCATCTCATCATAACGAATTTATATGCGATCATAATCCGCTGTGAAAAGATTTTCACAACATCCAAAAATATATATAATTCATGGATATTGTTTATTCGAATAAAATATAAAACCAATTAAAATTTTCCATAGTCCTTGTATAATAATAAAATAGTAGTAACTGGCTTTTTTTTTTCACAAGTCATAGTAATATAGATTATAAATATAATCATTGTAATTTGATTAAAGAAAAAAAACGGATAAACGAATAAAACGAATTTTTAGTTCGAATAAGAATTTGTATTACGAATAGAAACCCTATTACTATACGGATACTAATGATGTCATGAAGTACAAGTAATTTAAATATACGGGATCAGAAATAGGGATTTCTATTCAAATGAAGTTTATTCGAATCAAAACGAATGATTCGTAGTCAATTTGAGTATTAAAATCACATTGAATGGTCACATTTACCCAAAAAAAATCATTTTTTGGAAAACTGCTATTTTTACTAACTGGTTCTATTCGAATAATTTAAGGCTTTATCCGAGTTAATCAAATCACATTGAACGATTGTTCGAGTAAATTTTCATTTATCGAATGAAGATTATGAATATCTACAACTAGAATGAGTGATTCCGCCGATAGAAAACCTTTTCCGGCTAAGATCTTGGATCAAATAATTTATTAGACAAACAAGAACTGCCCCAAGACCAGAACGTTTACTAAGAATTGACACATAAAAAATAATTACATTCCAAATAGCGTTCGTTGTGTTGTGAACAATTATTTGTTTGAGTGGAGGAATAAGAACAGGCACGAATTTGATAACGTAAAAATAAATGTTGGTTTGATTCATGTTGTCAACAATCACTTCACTAACAGTTGTTTCGTTAACAAATGGTTCGAATTTAAGAAGTTGGAAGCAACCGTGCGACAACCCTTTGAAATAATCTAATAAATTAAATTGTACTACTCGAAAATGTATTTAAAGGGTTGGTTTTCGACTTGGTTGAAGAATAACTCTCTTCCTAACTCTTCTCTTGACCATATCTCTCGATATAATCAATATAATGAATGTCAATGAAATGGTTGTAAACACAACAAATTTAAGATATACATCATCATCAACTGTATTTTCGTTATTTTCGATAAACTCATTTTCGTTTAATCTTTTCGTCATACTTTTTTTTAGTGCGTTTTGATTTCAACTTGAAGATAGTCCAAGATATCAAACATTTAGATTGGCACCTTTGTAGACAATAATTGTGATAACCATGTCCACACGTGAGTATATACACTACAATTATTCAAATTAGCATAGTTAGCGTAATCACAATATACGTAATTGCAAAAAATGTTTGTGTATGGTTTCCTAGAAGTAATAAAGCCTCTTGGAAGGCAACGATGGGTTATTTCGTAAACTAAAGAAGGCAAGTAACACCATTAGATGAAGTTTTGGTAATCAAAGGATACTGATTTTGTGCTTGATATAGTGGTAGTATCAGATTGTCTCTGGACGTGAATGCAACTTGCTTCTTTTACAATCTACTGTTCTTGATGTTGTAGTTGCTCCAAGACTTGTATCTACCGAACCTAAACATAATGCAAGGTCGAATTTAAAAGAGTTAATTTTTGTATTATTCATTTTGTCGACACCCATTTCGTCGAATGTTTGTTTCGTCGAATGTTCATTTCGTCGAAAATTATTTCGTCAGAAAAAAAAACTTCATTAAACAAATTCCTCCTCACACTTGCCACAAACTCCTAATTTTCTTAACTAACTTCCCATACTCCTCACATCTAACTCGTTTGGTCTCTGGCTCAAGGATGAAATAATTTTTGACAAAATGAACTTTCGACGTAAACTTTCGACGAAGTAAACGCGACCCATATGATAATATGAGAGAGGATATAATTAATTCATCATTAATGATTGACTACTTGCAGCCAAAAACCTACTTTAATTTTGGCATCAGAAAAAAGATCCACGTACGAATATACGCAAACCTTTAATTATATCATGAAATTAAATTCTAAATAACCAAATTCTCTCATTTAACCAAAACACCACCTTGCCAGATACTGTTTCATTAGTTTTTGTGGTGATTTTTACCAATCTGATCATTAACAGAATCGATGACATTTTTGATGATGATAAAAAAATTGCAGGTGATATAATAATATAATATTACATTTATTGTTGTCATTTGGCGCTAGTATTTATAACTTGAATCAACAATAAAGTAGATTTACAATCACACGAGAAATCAAATTAAATGCAGCCACGATCAACCAAATTTGATTAGCTTTAATTACATAAACACTTTATTCTACCACTTTAGTATTATTATTAACCCAATATTCAAGTTTTTATCATACGCATACGTGAAACACGTGCACAAATGAGCAAAGAACGAAAATTCGAAAAATATAATATGTGGTTTAGTTTTTTTGATTTATATATTAACAAAAAGTAACTGACATTTATTTAATTGAATCAATCACGAAGAAAATTTCAATTTGATTTGATTTACAAGTGATTAAAGGAACCAAATTTCAATCAAAATTTTTGATTCTTTTTTTAAATCAAACACCCAACAAAAGTAAAAAATTTGTTCCCAAAAAATTATTTTATCCTAATGATAATTTCATTATCATTGTCTATATCATATCATTGTCATGTCATTGTCATATCATGTCCATGTCCTATTTCTTAATACTATACTTAAAGAAATCAGTTCATTCCCGTGAAACTCTGATTTACTTTTTGGGACATTCTTCAGTTAGGCCGGTTTTATTGTTATTTTTATTAACACAAGTAAGAAACGAAACATTTGCCGTGTCATGACCACCTTCCAAAATCAGTATGGCAAGCGACCTTCGTGCAGGTTTCTGGCCGATTGTCTCCTTTTGCGTTTGGTTTTTTCGGCTTTTGGAGCGATCAACGTTTTTACCATATTTAGCAAAAATAGTGTCGTACACCAAATGTTTCGTTTCTTAATAGATTCAATTGCAAGCGTGCATGCAATGCTTTGCAAGGTGAGGAGAGAGGCATTATCAATGAACCATGTTTTTCAAACCTAATTGTTGGGAAGGAATTTTTTGTTTTCGTTGGGTGGTAAATTTCAAAAAAAAATTTTTTTTATTTTTCTGAAATCGATCTACATGATTATTTATTCTTTTCTTTCTTTGATGATCAAATAAATAAATATCTTTTTCCAACCGAAGAGGATTGTTTTAATAAGAATATATTTTGCTATTTTACATTTTAAGATATTTAATTTTTTCAACAATTGAACCTTTGTTATTTTATTATATGTTCTACTAACAAGTTATTTCTTTAATAATCATTCTCTCTTTTATTTATTAATATTGAATTTTTTACAATTTTATATATACACAATTGTTTAAATGTGTCAATCATCATCGACCAATCACAAATTCCATTATTTAACAGATAGCAAAGGTCTTTTCGACCCTCGGGTAAATCCACTCGATTTCGCTTCATCAATTATTCAAATAATTATATAGGCGGGCTTGGTAGAAGTAAGTATTAAAGTCAAGATCTATTTGCAAATCAAGTTTCCAAAATGAACGTTTATTATTATATGCGGGTTTGATCAAAGTAAGTCTTAAAGTCGAGATCTACGAAGCTGTTTGTAAAATATATTTAATTAACGTTTTATTATTATCAACTATTCAATAACTATATATGCGGGTTTGATTGGTCAAGATCTATATAATTAGATTGTTAATGGTCAACAATGGAATTTTATTACATGCAAAAAAAAATTTTTTGAGTTGTAGATTTTGTTTTATTAAATAAATTTGTTTGATTTTTTCATTCATCGTTCATGTTTCCCCTTGATCGTATATCTTAAATTGGTCGCGTTTACAATCATTTTGTCATTCGTTATATTAAGGTTATTTTGATTATATCAAGAGATATGGTCAAGAGAAGAGTTAGGAAGAGAGTTATTCTTCAACCAAGTCGAAAACCAACCCTTTAAATACATTTTCGAGTAGTACGATTTAATTTATTAGACTAT